TGAGCCCAGCATGCTGTTGCTTTCGGAGCTGATGCAGGAAGGCGTCACGTTCCATTGTCGCCAGTTCATCCAAGTGTTGTTTGGAGCTTGCAAAGACCTCTGTCGGACAGGCCCAGCATATCAGGAGCTCATTCCCATGCAGTTTCTGTTGTCGGATGTTGCAGTGTTGCTTCAGAATGTGGCATGTCTCCTGCCGTCAACTTGACATGCACGGCTTCCTGCGTGATGAGCACAACATTCCTAACGTCTCAATGATAGAGCTGAGCCCAGCATGCTGTTGCTTTCGGAGCTGATGCAGCAAGGCGTCACATTCCATTGTCGCCAGTTCTTCCAAGTGTTGTTTGGAGCTTGCAAACAGTCGTTTGTCGTCGTCTCTGCGTAGTAGTAGTAGTAGTAGTAGTAGTAGCAGTAGCAGTAATAGTAGCAGCACGCTCTACATGGAGCTTGGCTCGCTTTCGGTGCCTGTTGCCCGGCATTTTGCACTTACTTATCCATCCCGTCCGCCCCCGACCGGCGCGGTGTGCAGCCTACAGCATGTTTCGACAGACTTCGGCACGCTTAGCTCTACAGTCTTCCGGCAAATCTTTGACTAGATTCCGATTGGCCATGGATGTGACCGTTTTGTTTTTGACATGTGTTTTAGGGTGGAACCATTGATCGCCTGACAAGTCGGCAGGCTCGTTCCAACTTGGATGCGGACGCCCAACACCCTTTTGCCGGCTCTTTGTGCTCACTTTCTTCCGTTCCGGCAGCGTCCGCTGAAGATGAGGCGCGTCTTACTCTTTGAGGACGCTGCTCCTTTCTCTGGCTGTTCCTCACAGCAGGAGGACATGCCTCAGTGGCTGCAGTGGCAGCTCAGCCTCCGCGAACTCCCCAATGGATATCGACATCTGCGACTGAACTCAAACGACTCGACGGTCGGCCCATGCGAGGTTCAACTTCCGGAGTCCGTGAGCCAACGCCTCAGAGGTTGAGGGCACTGTCGTCAAGTCACACGGGCTGACACCACTGAGATGGTATCGATTGCGGTCTGTGGGAAGGTGCGACCAATCCTGTTCCGACTTAGACTTGTCAAGGCATGTCGAATCTGTGAGCTGCAGGGTTCTCTCTGTCTGGCGCACGCTGGCAGCCGGAAGCAGTGCCAGACGGCTCGTGAGGAACGTTGCCGCCCGAGCTTTGGGGTTACGTTGTTGAGCAAACATGACAGGCCTCAGATGTGCTTTGTGCGTGTGTGGCTGAAGAAGTAGTCGAGGGCATTTGCTTCGTGAGGTGTGCATCCAGTTTCGCTACCAGGCACTTGTATCCGCTGCACAGCTAGATGGTTTCGTACTCGGCTGGTGCATGCCGAGGCTTGCTTCATGCCTTGTGGCATTTCACGCCAGCAGAAAGACTGTAGTGCCGAAGCGACGGCAGTCATGGTCATTTTTGTTGATAGTCAACGACTGCCATAAACTCGCAGACACAGTCGATAAGCCTCAGCAGTCCGGGGCGAAACCCGTGTGCCAAGCCGGAAGCGTGCAGCTACGCCATGGCGCTAGACAAACCCACACGATCCTTCACAGGAGGGACGCAGGCGGAGCCTTGATGCAAGAGCTTTAACCAGCATTTGCTGGTAAGCTACTTCTCCGCATGGCAGCCTCAAACATGCTGCATTGCCTCTGCTGAGGAACGGCTTGTCGGATTTCTGGCAGCTTCCGTTTGGTCGCTCGTGTATGTGATTGCACCGCTTTACGACCTTCGCTTGCAGTGCCGAAGTTCCCGGTACATGCAGTCTTTGTTTTGCCTGCCTTCTGTGAGCTGAGGCGGGTGCGTGCGTCGTGTCCCTGCTCAGATATCCTTTTTGGATGGGTTCGTGGGCTTTGCTGTCGCCGAGACTTGCAGGCAGATCTTGCCTGTGCCTGTGCGGTTGTTGAATCAACACTTACTTGGACGAGTGCTCTTCACGCTGAGGCTGCTCTTATCGTTTCTGACTCCGGACCATGTGATAGAACGCTTAGGGCACATGGTGCTCACATCATGGCCGATGCAGCAGCCACTTTCCCGAACTTTTTCTAGGACGAAGGTTGTTTCTAGCGCGGCTGGCATGAATGGCAGAAGTGTCCTCTGCATGATGCCGAGGGTGCCGAAATATTTCGACTACGAGGAGTACCACGAAACTTTGGACAGCCACTCGGAGTTTGCGAAGGGGTCCTCGCAGTGGCTTGCGAGTAATTTATACGGCAACGGGAGCGAACGAGCGAGCTGTTTGGCCACCTTTTGAAAATTTGTGCAGGTTTCGGCTTGGTCCTTGTTGTAAATGCAGCGGACGGTTGAACCAAGTACAGAGTGGCAGTACCACGCGATTCCGTTTTGAAGGTGAGGTCCGCGCGGGGTCTCGAAGCTTCATCGTCGGAGCACATCCTCACGGCATCTTTCCCTTCACTGCGGTCTGCGCTGCCGCATGGGCCCCATTCGCAAAGGATATGCCGCATGAGCAGCAAAGTAGCATCTGGAGTCCAGGTTGCGACACAGAATGCGGTGGATGGCTTTGGTGCGGCACTGGCAAAGGCACCTCGAGCTGTCAGTGTATGACCGTTTCCAAGTTTTCTGAAATGCAGTGCAACTCAAAGCAGGCAGAAGGTTAAATCTTCTTGGTGGTATGATGAAGCAATGCCCCCCGAGCTTCCTGTTGACAGAGGAAGCTCCGACGGCTGCTGCATCCATAGTCAAGTATTTTCCGATCCTGAAAGATGTCGTTGGAATGTTTGGGTTAATCGACCCATGGCCTGCATTGATGAGTTCGGTGCATTTGGGTGCCTGAGACATGGCATCGAAGCATCAACGCACAGCACTCAGGACGCAAGCAGCGCCACCTTGTTCAAAAGGCTAACGAAAGCCAGAGGCCGGGCCTGTAACAGTAAGGTTCTAGCAAGGCTTTAGGAACTCTAGGGCCTAAGACCGAGAAGGACTCGGACTCTGCCCTTGTCCACTGCTTGAGCTTGGGCTTGGCATCGGAGTATTCATCCTGTACGCTTGAAGTTTCTTTGTGTGTCAGGTGCTGCTTGTATTCAGCATCTTCATCTCATGTACTGCACGACAAACCAGACCTGGTTCTGTGCGGAGTGGGTATGTTGGCACGGTAGCAGTTAACAGCGTTTTCGTCTTGTGTCTGTCTGTGAGTGTGTGTGCTTTTTGCGCGCGCACCGACTCTAAGTTCAGGGTTAAAAGACTACAAGAGATTACAAGAGTAATTGCCCGACAGCGCACTGTTGTAAATTGTGAGTTGCAGGTGCCCAATCGGTCGACTACAGCAAAATCAGTGGAAGCACATGCTCAGCTGTGCAAGCGAAGAACCTCAATACGACAGCATTTTCGTTGTATTTTGCTTTTCTTTTGCGAGTTTTCTGGTGCTTGAAGCACAGGCCCCCGGGTTTACGACGTAGCATCTCTATTGGCAGACGAAGTGCGCCGCTAGGATGACAGCATTCCACGTGCTCCATTCTTTGTGTCTGTAAGTGGGGAGCCTGAATAGCCAACAGTGTACAGTCGAAACCAAACATGCTTGGTCCATTCCAACTATGCATAGATGGTCAGCAGACACGCTGCAGAATTTCACGGACAAAGCAAGTTTCCACAGAATTTCCTGCTGGCGTAGTCGCAGTTGACCCCCACAACCTTGGCGCTCCGTGGCGTTTGTTGTACATCGACCGCATCCTAGCACAGTCCTTCATGAACCACCTCTTGTCTTTTCTGTTTCTGTGGCCCACGCAACCCTGCCAGGAGTGGTCATTCTTTACGTGGGTGGAATTGTCGAGCTCTTCTCCTCCAGCCCCAAGAAGGAGGCCGTCTACTTGAAGCAGCGAGCCGGGCTGCTTGCCTATGTCCGGAGCCATTTTGGGAGGTGGCTAAGTCATGCGGACGTGAGCATCAGCGGACGTGAGCATCAGCTGAGTATAGCATGTCTGCACAGGTTCATCAAACTCGCCCTGCGCACTGGTGCAGATGTGATTCCAGTCTACATGTTCGGGAATCCTATGCTGCAGCCAGCTTTGCACACAACGATGCCTAACCTCAGACATCTCTGAAAGGCTCCGTGCTTCACATTTTGTTGTGGTAGCTTGAATGTTAACCACTGCTCAGAAGCGAATCTCAGCCCACTACTTTCTGGATTCTTCTTGAAGAACCGAGCCTTCACTTGTGGCAACAGTTCGGCAACATATACGAGACAGGTTTTAGAGCACGTGTTGGTCTTGCTCGGAAAAGCACAGGGTTATACCAGTTGAAATCTGTACGACAGCAATCGTCCATGCTGTTGAGTATTAGCATCAAACCTAGCGACAACACTGTTGACGGACCTCTTCAAAGTTGTCCTGCAGACACAATCGTCCCCCAGGAACACCACCGTTCTGTCGGCGTTGACCTGGGGTCCACTTGCATCGCTGAGCCGCGCGTTGGGGATGTCCGCCTTGTGGCCGAACAGAACTCAAGGGCAAAGCCAAGCCGACCCGAGCCAGCCCAGGTAACCGTGTTTTGGGGAAGATTCGGCTTGCCTGTGCCGAAGGCCGTGCAACTTGACCGGATCGGTCCAGTCGCTAGCATTGCGAAGCAAGGCATCGCGGAGACATGCGTCCGCGTGTTCCCTGACTTAGAGCATTCGGGAGAGGTATCTTCTACCGCTACGCTCGAAACAGACAGAAGGGGAGTCAGGTCACTGGAGAGATAGCGAGATTCACCAAGGCCAGGCTTGCGAGGTGTGCCCGCCCGACTCGGCTGAGGCCCTTGACGTATGTTCGTGGGAGGCCGCTGGGGATGCCACAGATTTCCAATCCGACCGCTGCGCCTCAGATGAGAATGAGAGATAGAGCGCTTAGTGCGCAGTGCGCAGGAAAGGAGTGAGTGCCTTTGGCAAATGGCCCCCGACAGCTTCGCTTCATCACGGAGCGCTCTGCTCTTGTGCACAATCGCTCTTGGGTCTTCTTGAATTGTGCTTGGGTCCCATGGCGACCGGGGGAAGGAGGCGGGGTTTCGGACCTCCTGGCGACTGGCACGTTAACAGTCGGGCCAGCTCGGCTCAGCACGGCGTCTTGTCCCGTGCACCTGAGGAAGACATTCAGAAGTGGCACGAGATCTATTGTGAGAGGCTCAAGGAGCTTTTTGATGCCTACAAAGGTAGGAATCCAGATTACAAGGAGAAAGATCTCATGATCGTTTAAGTTTGTAGCTACTAGCTTCGTTGGACCTTTTGCACTATCGCGCTTGGGCAAAACGATCATGCACCTCTTCGGCCGGTTAGATCCATAAACGTGTTGTCTATCACAGACATGAAAACCGGCGCTGCCCTTCATTGCAGAAAGTGGGGTTCTGCTGCAAGGCACTGGCGAGGAGAAGCTTTGGAGCTCTTCGAGAGCACAGGCGGTGGAGTTCAGCGAGAACCCACCGCATTTCGCAGGCAGGTGACCCCGGGATGGGCTCTAGACTCTAGCCTTCCCGACTTCTCCACAGGCAGTTGATGGCTGGGTGGATACGCGCCATCAAAGTCGTGTTCGACGAGCTCTTGGTGTTTGGAGGCAGCTTTTTTCGAAATTCTGCTGGTTCTACATCTTCGTGAGTCCATTGTCAGGCTGCGTGGAGCAAAGGGGGCGCTTCGTCGTCGCGGCGAGAGCCTCGGATCCGCCTCCGCCGTGTCTTTTGGACCAGCTTCCAGGTGCGATTGCGCTGGGTGCCTTCCTCACGGCCACGCGCACCACCGGCAAAGTTGTTGACAGGACAGCACCTAAACGTGCTTCCTTCTTCTGTCCCGTGCCAGGTTTGAGACGATGGCTTACTGGCTGGAGCAGCCTCGTGCGTCGAGAGCGAAGGTGGCTTCGTCACGTTGTTGTAGCTCCGTAGACACCCGATGGTCTCCTATGTTTTGCACATTTCCGTCAGCTTCTTCGTGCCTTCGCTTTCGGCCCTATTGCGAAGTCAAGTGCCGGTTGCTGCATTGGCATCCGGAAGAATCGCTTGTCAAAGACCGGCATGCCCAGGAACTAGACTTCACAGAGCTCTGTGATGCCAGCAGCTGTAGTGACAGTCGAGGTGCTTTAGGCGTTTTACGCTCCTGCCGCGCTCCTGCCCTGAATGGTGTTATGGGCCAAGAGAAACCCTTGGAGATCTCGGATCCGGTCTATCGCTGGCAGCCAGAAGCCAATGAGCTCCTCACTTTCGACGAGGCACACCGACGGTGTGGGACTTAGAGCCATCAGTGTGGAGCGGAGCAAATCTTTGCAGCCATCCTGCTCAATGTAGCTCATCGCGTCTTTAACATGTCAGCATCTCCTCTTGCACTCACCGGATGTGCTTTGAGGCAGCAACGACGGGGCAAAGCATGCTTGACTTCTGTGTTAGAAACCGAGGATCGTGCATATCAAGCCGGGTGGCTTTATCACGGCAGATGTGATCGACAGGGACCGATCGGCAACTCCTCCAGATGGGCTGAACGTAGCTTTGGAGCATGATGTGCGATCCGTGCGGTTCTCTCCTGACGGCCTCTTCTTCGCCTTTCTGAGCGAGAAGCGCATCGGATGCCTGCGAACAATGCAGTCGGTCCCCCAGTTGCAAGGTGTTGCTTAGCTGAGACGCATGTATCGAGCATCGAGGCCCAGTCTGCAGCCGATCTGGCCATCAAGCAAGTGGAGCAACAAGGCCACGAGATTCACAAGCCTCTGCCAAACATCATTCCGGTTGACCTGGGGTCTTCACACCCACCACACCCACCACACCCACCACACCCACGCAAACACCCACAGCCACACACCCATGCCTACGCCCACACCCCAAATCCACCCCCACGCCCACGCCGACGCCAACGCCCATGCCACACCCGACACCCAACACCGACACCCACGCCCACACAGAGAGACCGACTGACACCGTTGCTTTTCAGCTGCGGCTGGCTCCGCTCATTCTGGTTGAGTCTTGATGCAAACTGCTGCAGCCTTTGCGCATTCACTGTGAGGGAGCGGAGAGGAGGGGAGGGGGGAGGGGAGGGGAGGGGTGCCCCCAAATGTCCCCCCCTTCGGTGGAAGGATATGGGCGCAAGTACGATCCCTGAGGATCCAAAGGCTGGCCCTTGCATGCGGACAACACGGTTGGTTTTGCTACACGCAGAGAGAAATAGTGGCTTGAAGCCACTTGAGACAGAAACGGTTTCGGCGCATACATGCACGTGTTATGCCATTGCCGAAGGTACATGACATTACTGTATTGGGCTCTAGATGTTAAGTACGTAGCATAGTGTCAAAAGGTTGCAAAAGCAGAAGATCAGAACGGTAGGTCCGAGAGACGGGGTGGGGCCTTGGATGGTACTAAAAAAGGAAGTCCGAAAAAAAAAGTGGCTTAAAGTATTGGTCTGTAGAGTCTGTTTTCACGGTTTTTCACGGAAAAATGTTTCTGGTCCAAGAGCCTGGTAGAATCTTTTAATGCTGTAAAAAATCTCAGTGTCTTCGCAGTGGAGTCGTTTTGCTGTGCGTATGCCTGTAGCATTTTTGGAGCAACAAGGAACTGTCTAGCAGGGCAGAGCTTCAAGAATGTTTTTGTATAAAGTCTGTAATTGCAGTTTGCAGTGCTGTCTGTTTTTGTTCCGGGTTTTGGTGGATGCCGACTGTTTTCTTAATTTTGCTTTGGTTTTCTTGTGTCTTCTCGTTTGCAACGTGTGTGATAGGTGGTTTTGTGGTTGTTTTTGTTACGTTTGCTTTTTTGGTCTGAGACTTTGCTTGCAAGACTTCCAAGCCGAAGCAAAGCTCGCTTTGTGATGTTGTAGACGCGACTTTGATTGTTTTCACTTGGTCTGGCATTTGGCTTGGTGCGCGCCATGGCACCTGCAATCACCCCAACAATCAAAGCGACGTTTGTGCGATGCGCAACTGTTCCTGGCAGCAGCGCGGGCTCTGTTTCGAATAGGTGTCGGGCAGTCGAGCCCAGGAGCGGTGGCGGAATCGGAGCAGAATAGCGGGAGGAGGAGCACAATCAACGTGTCAAACACTGATCCGAGCGAAAATGGCTTGTCAGCAGAAGCTGCGGTTGTCACGGATGTTCCCCAGAGACTCTTCCTGTCCAGTCGGACTTCGAGATCTTAGCCTTCTTCTGGTTGCCCGGAGAGTGCCTCGGCTCCGGTGGCTCAGGCTTACGTATACACTGTCACCCGTTGTGCCCGGCACTGTGAACATAAGGCAAGATGCCAGTGACCTGGCTGTCGTCACGAGTCAGGGCATTGAAGTGTTCCGCCTCAGCTTCGACCAACGAGCTGCGAAGTCCCAGCGTACATTTCCTACTCCAGTGAGAGTTTGCTGGCTGGAGCCTTCCGCAGCGACGACCCTGGTTTGTACAGGTGCTCGAACTCTGCAGCCGTTTGATTTCAGGCGGCGAAATGCGAAACTTCCTCGATTTGACTTGGTTCTGGGTCGTGGCCAATCTATCGAGCCTGGCGATGTCGCTCTCATGACTATTTATGATTGTACCTACTGCATCCATGCAGATGGATCAAACGGCAAAGTCTCCCTGCGCAACGTTACGAATCTGGAAAAGGGAACTCCGGAGCACGACATTGTGATAGACATCTCCGACCAAGACACGCCGCTTGGTCCCCTCCGCTTGTCTGTTGTTGACAACCTTCTGATCGTGCACTGTCTGGAGAGGACACGCCACGTCTTCACAATGTCTGATTTGTTTATGTTCGAGACAAATGCTAAGCCTAGGCCTTCGAGCCACTTACAGTAACATTCATTGAGCCGTCGTAGCCTTCGAACGGCATGAGACATTGCAGGATGGTCTCATCGGTCTACGACATTCGCCACAAGGATGGCGACTCTGTTCCCAGATTGGTCTGCCAGCAAGGGGTGGAGCTTCAGACGAAGCAGCCTTCGCAATCTGCATGGCTAGACTGGGATTACCTGTCTGGTGGTATCGTGCTGGATTCGGGAGCAGGAACAGTCCATCAACTGCACCTGAATATGGGCGCAATTTTAGCTCAGTTTCTTGCACAGGCGCCGGTTGATGTAAGTCTCGTCCTGAAGCTCCTGCTGCGGCGCACCGGCTGCAGAGAACATGTAGTGCAGACACTTCGGAAAGCCCTGGCTGCAAGAACTCGCTCGGCAGAGCTGTTACAGGGCTTCCAGGTGCTCAACTCTGCATATCGCCAAGTGATCGAATCTATGTCTCAGCGCTGTTCCGGTGCCGGAGTACGTGCAAGCATCTCTCTCCAAGAGCTGGAGGCTCAAATCACGTATCAATCCATGCTATCTGAAAAGGACATGGTCACACAGGTCTTCTACCCACACTTTATTGGGAGCGAAGGTCTGGAAGGGGAGGGGTCTGCGCCTTCGACGGAGCCCTTCAACCTGGCCGACTGGCATATTCCGTTTGAAGCCCGAGAGAACAAAGATCTTCCGAAGGACAGTCCCTACATCCTCTCCGTTGTGATCTCCTACCTTCGCAGCCTGCTAGGCCTCCAGATCCTGCCCCACAAGATTCTACAATGCTTCGTCTTCGACCTGTGTGTGTACTTCAGGTGCGTAAGAGTGATGGTCGACTGTGAGAGGGTTCTGAACAGTGTTACAGCCTTAAGCTGAGGCAGGAGCACATGCTGCAGCAGCTCTTGCACTACCATGTGCGGGGCCTATGGAGTTGGACCTGTTCAAGCACGAACTGAGCACTGGCCACAATTCAAGCACAGACATGAAAGCATGCGATTCAAGCACAGACGGTCCAAGCGCGCACACTAAAGGCATTTGCCATTGGAGCAACCACGCACGCGCGACTGCAGAGCCCGACCGAGTCCGCTTTGTGACGGTTTAGGTTGGTTGTGATTTTAGGGGTCTGGTGTTTAGGGTTTAGGGCGTTTAGGGATTAGAATTTGCGATGTTGAGGGTTTGGGGTGTTTAGGGTTTGGGGTCTTGGTTTTTGAAGGAAGGGTCGTTTTGGGCTGGTATGTTAAAGGCTCGAATCCCGGATTTGCAAACATCGCGGCCTGCGTGCAAATCTGCTGGTTCGCGAATCCCATGCGTCAATGCGTGAATCCCTTGTGCGTGAATCCGCGGTCAAGTGTGTGAATCAGCCCGTGCGCACTGCGTGAGTCCATCGTGCGTGTAGCAGCAGCTCGTTGTGTGCATGCACTTTCAATTGTGCGAAGCAGTTACTTACCGAGTGGGACGGTGGTCCTAAGTCCAGGTGCTGCTGGATTCTCCGGAGCTAGTGTTCCGGCTCAAAGACTTGGCGCAGCACAGCACAAAGGAAAGGTCATGGGCCACTCAAGCCAGCCTGGCACGACTCCCAGATCTGTCGATTCATTCAAGCTGTGCGACACTTCCAGATTGAAGCAAGGACATGGCCTTGCGCGTACGCGAGTTCTCTGTGGTGGCAGACATGCTGCTTTTCTCCAGCCAGTACCTGGACATCGTGTAACTCAGCTTCCAAATGTCGAAGAGCAGCGCGGAGGTGTGACCGTGCGAGAACTAAGGCCATTCCTCATAAACCAGAAGGACGTCTCCTTCAAAGTGCGCACTTTGCTGGAGCGTCTAGAAAACGACGCTGACGCAACTCGCAGTGATCCTGAACTTATGCAGCACGTACGACCCTTGGCAACGCATCGTGCAGCTTGCGACAGCTGCTGTTATTTGTCCACTTAGGTGTTGGCAGAAATCCGCTTGTGGAAGCAAGAAGCCACGCTGCCCACCTCAAGCCCTAACGCAGAGGCAAACGGCACAGGACTGACCGGCGTTAACGGCTGGCTATATTTGCCGACGGAGACGGGTTCCCCCCCCCTTGACCAGGAAGAGCGATGCTCCCTGCGCCGGATCTTTCCGGCTGTGAGAAGTGGCTGCCTGAACTAGACGAGGCACGGTGCTGGTTTGATGTGGCCGACACGATGACGGATGCAGTCAAGCTTCTTCCAAGACCCAGGCACGATCAGGCCCTGAGGCGGCCATCTTCGATGCGTGATGTGCTTGCCGAGAGTCCCTCGTTTCACAACGGGCCAAAGCTCAAGAATGCCCGCGATGGATTTAAAGTCAATGCCTATCACTGACACTGAAGACAGCCGCTGCAGCTGCTGTCGCCCTCTATGATCTGCCAGGAGAGCACAGGCTTTGTCGATCCTCGTCACAAGAAAGTGCACGGCTCTCGGGTCCTGTGCTCGGTTTATTGAGCTTCTTGGAAACTCCAGACACTGGTGTTTGTGTGTTCAGGTGCAAAGCTTGCAAAGTTTGGCGAGCTGCTGCTCGGCGCAGCATTTCCGCACGATCGGCTGAGGGCTCAGACTCTGTCTGGACCGCTTCGGCGCATTCAGCTGTGATGGACGAATGTGTGCATGCGCCCAACACATCCCAAGACACTACTTGCAAGGCAGCAGCGTTCCTGGAAGCCTTTCGAACGCGGAATCTCATCAGAAGATGGGTGCGCTCCCTTGCCGTGAGATGTGTCGTGGGAGGGGTAAATTCGTCTCTTGCGGGAGGCTGGCCAGAGGAAGGCAGAGATCTATCGATCCAGGAGGCTCTTCTGGGCTGCATGGCGAGGCCCGAGCCCAAGCGTCCCAAGCTTTGCTACCGTCGCCCCCAAAGTGCGAGTCTTTGGAGGTTTCGCCATGGAATCGAAAAGGACGAAAGCAGAGTCTGCTGTACGAAGACGGGGCAGGGAGACTCAGAGTCTTAGAGGCGTCGTGTGCAGCCCTTGGGAGCATGATGTAGGCTACAGTCACATGCTCAGATCCGCAACTTGGCAGCAGCAGGAGCCGCAAGAACTTCACTGAGTGAGACACCCAGTGCGCCTGTCCCCCGTGATCCAGGCTTGGCAGCGGTGGAGCATTGCCACCGTGTGGGGCCGGCGCTGTCGGGTGGCCATGATAAGGCTCCCACTTCGCGGCTCTGGCAGGTTGAAAGCTCGTGAAGCGATTTGTCGGCAAAGGGCAAAGGCATCCGCTGTGTCAGACTTTCGATGCAAGAATATGCAAGCCTGGGAAGACACGACGTCTTGGCGTCACCCTTCGAAGCTGGCAAAGTTTGAAAGCGGCCAAAGCTTTTGCCGCCGACTGCCCAGCCTCCAGCGTATCGCAGTGTTTCAATTGTCGGGGTTCCGTGGCGAAGCTTGAGGCCCACAGCACCCTGCTCGGCAGTTTCCGGAAATGGAACCGCACAGTAGGCTCGGGGGGGAGGTCACCTTGACGGTGCGAGCAGCCGCGCTGCTCGCAAAGAGGTCATCTTTTCAATGAGCGTCGTGCGCGAGAGTTGATGGTCGGCTCCGACCTCAGGCCAAAAAGGGGGAAAGAGAGTTCGTTCTTCTCTGCTTTCGAATGGGACTCAAAGGTGTTGGATCCTGGAGGCTGTGCTCCGTCTGTCGGGGCTCTGTCTGTTTGCCGAGCCTTGGAGGCGTGGGGCCCCCACGCGTGGGGCCCCCACGCATCGCCGCTTCTTCGTTTTCTGGGGCCAGGCCAGGCCGAGCCCGAAGCGACGGAAGCGGCTGCTTCTTAGAAGGGAGACTCCGATACTTCGGACTTGGACTGTTCTGTCTGAGGTGGTCCAGAACAAAAGGATGCAGCGGCGCCGTGTCAGAGAGGAGCTGCTCCGAGCTGCCTTCTGGCGCCTTTTTCAGAGAGACGCGCTTTTGAGAATAGCGTCAGCTCATGTCATCTGCTCGGCCACGAGACTGGCTTTGATCCGCAGGCCAAAGAAGCCCTCCAGAAGCTGGCCAAGCCCTGAGCGCGGGATCCTGTTCTCGTCGCTGTCCCACGCTGCCAAGGCAATCGTCCAGGCGCTTTGGTTTTGGCATTCGCGTGCCCGAGAGTCCTCCGTGCGAGAGGCTCGCACGTGAAATGCACATGACGGGTGAGCCAACCGTCCCGGCAAGTGAAGGACCACCTGAACCGGGCCTCCATTGCCCTGCAGGATTCGGGCTCGGGGCCAAGACGCCGTGTGCGCTTAGGTGCTTTGTTGAGGCAATGGTATCTGCTTCCAGATGGGCCCGAGCACACGATCTGCTGATTCGCTGGTTCGTTCGATCTAAAGCCACAAGGACGGCACCAGGTCCGGGATGTTTCGATATGGCTGGAATGCTGGAAGTCGTGTAGAGCAGGATCATGTGCAGCGAAGCCGACTTGAGCGGTGAAGCTCCCTCAGCCCGAAGCCCAGTACTCCGACTTGGTGCGAAGCGAAGCGATCGAAGCGAGGCCATCAGTTTGGAAGGCTCGGGCATGTCAGAGGCAACAGCTCCACGCACACCCAGGCCTGACAACTGCCACTCGTCGATGCATTTCGATCGTACCGCAATGTTGCAGTCGCACAGCGTGAGGCAGGAGAGATCCGCAGAAGGACGGATCATTGCGTCTACGGTATCCTCCGAGGAGATCTTGACCAGGCCATGTGTGCCCTTAAGACCCGGTGTCGCTGTGAAAGCTGCGGGAAGTAATGCGCGACGCCGAAGTGTTTGGCGCTCGCGACGGCGACGCCTGAAACTCCAGATGCTTACATCGCGAGAAGAAAGCTACTTCTGGCACGAGACTTGCTGTTGAGTGACTTCTAGGGTCCATCGAAATGCTGGTGACAACTACTGTTACTGGGAGTTCGTGAAGCCCACAGACGAAAACAGGAGACCCCATCACCAAACCCAGAGACTACGAACTGCAAATTGCAGTCTTGATGTTTTCGGTGTTTCACATGCGGGATGAGTTTACAGTGAGGAAGCCTCCCCGAAAAGGACAAGAAAGTCACCCCTTGTCACGACAGGGTTATGATTGTCACCTTTCTGCCAGAGTTTCTTGCAGCAATTCCTGGGCAGGCACGTCGATACCGCCCATGCCTCGCCCGCACACGTGGAGCACGGCATGGAGAGGCTGTCTCAGCCTTCTTCAGAGCGGCACCCATGGTCTGGGCCTCAACCCCCTGGAACTTGAGCCACCTCTTTTCTGCTGCTTTGAGTTCAGTGCCTGATCTGGTTGGACTTGCATGGAATGATCAGCCAGATGAGGGTTTTCCCAACTGATCCCTTCCTTGGTTCTCTTGACTTCCAGGAACATAACCTCTCAAGTGATTTCTCTACCATAGACTCTCCTCGGTATCCTTCGCAGCTTTGCGTGCATTCTTCATTCCCTCCGCCTGGGTTCTTTGGTTTTCTCGAACGACTTATAGCAGCTTGCACTACGGATGCTTGGACATGTCTCGTGGTAGAAATCAGAAGAAAGACGGTTGGTAATGCAGGAAATGCTGATCCCGGACCCATGTCCCTCGATCCCAACCTCCAATCATTCTACCGACACAGGATTTCGTGCAGCGAGCGACTGCCTCCTGCGTCAGCATTGGCTCGGTGGTTGCGCCTCGGCTGTCACAGGGCACGGCAGGGCATGGCATAGAGCCTCGCAGAGTCTCAGACGTGAGCTCGGGGCTGCAGCTTTCTGTTCTTCAGGAAGTTCACAGTCACGCTTCAGCCGCTTCGCTGAAAAATTACCGCTTTGCACGGTTGCTTGTCGATATTTGCTTCGCGTCTCCGGCATGCAGGCAGGTGGATGCGGCAGCGCTTCCCGTCCTTCAGCGGGAGTGCTCAGCTTTCAGAGTGTCCCGCTGCTTGACAGGTGTACTTGCAGCGTGGGGTCGTGAGGTGGGCATGCTCTGCATGGCGTGGTGCACATCTGCACGCGAAGTTGCTCCATCTGCGCAGCGACCTCAGGATGGATCTTCAGCAGGGTTGATAGATCTGTACATTCTGCTTTTGCGTTTAGTTTCGTGTTAGGGCCTCCCGCCCAATGCTCTCGCAACTTGTTGCAGTGCTCCGGGCTCCGAATCGAAGTCGAGGCTCTGCGCCTATTGCGGGTAGCTCCTTAAACACTTCAGTGCCCATGTTTCGAATTTAACACCGCGTTTGTGTTTGTGATTTGGTGCGTTTATGCTCCTCTTCAGGTCTGCGCAGGGTTCGTGACTTGCTTGTCGAAGGCATCTATCGGTGTTTGGGGTTCGCCATCGGAATCTCCCCTTCAGGTTTGCTTAGCCCCCACTGCTTGCCGTTAAAAAGTCTCTCGCCACTGGAGGGTTGCCGCCCTTGATGGCTTCCGGCCGTGGTTCTCGTCTTCTTTTAGTGCTTAATTTCGACTCAGCATGTCCTGTCTCTCTTCACGGCTTCGTCAGCCGTCGCGGGTCTGCCGTCCAATTTTGTGTGGTGTAGCGCACACGAAGAGCCCATCGCTCTTGCAAGGGTCTCACAGTTACGTCCAGCCCTTCCTTTGAGGCTGCCAGTCGTCATCCAGCATGTTCTTGCAATTCATGGTTTGTGCTGGTGTCTAAGGATTTTGGTGTTTGCTATGCAACGGTGCCTGCAGCGTTTTCGCACACCTAGGCAGCGCTGTTTGCCGCCGGGAAGAGGGATCCGGAATTTTGATGGCTTTCGGTAGTCTCCGAGTGCATAGTTGCCGTCGCCTTTGCAGTTTTCGGGGGGGTTTACATCCGAAGCCTGCCGGCACAAAGTTTCGGCCTGTGCTTTCTGCAGGGTGTAAGGTTCGCCAGGGCAGCCTCCAAGTGGACTAAGGGTTCAAAACACCAACTCTTTCAGATGTTCGGATTTGGCGCGCCATGCATTCCAGAGCTCAGGGCCACACCCAGCGCTGACAGTGTCTGGTCATTCGGGGGCTGAGCGCTTAACGTGCTTTCTCTCTCAGGAGATCTTAGGAGTTCCAACTTTGTCACACAGCACGATTCTTGGCTTCCGAGTATGCCATCTAACAAGGTTTTGTAATTGGCCAACCTGCGCCGAGTTTTGGCGGCCGAGGGCTTGTCACCTCGAACCCCTTGCCCGTTCTTTTGGAATTTCGGGTTGCCCACCCCATCTTGAGATATTTCCAGCCAACCTGCCCTGTGGAATTGATTGTATCTGATGGGGAAAGTCGATATTGAATACGCTCTTTTGCGTTTGCGGTTTGCAATCCTGCATTGCTTTGGGGTTTAGATTTGCCGCACGGAACAGTTCTACACGGCAGAGTTTTTCTTCCATTTTCCACGCTAAGAGCTGGACAACAATGCGTTTTGCCATTTACCGCAGTGCATGCGTATCTGCAAGCCGAATGTGTCCTGTGGGGTGCAAGTTCAAGGTTTACCAACGCCATTTGTAAGGTTGAGGAGTTTGCAAGCCCTTTTGCAAGTCCGGCTTTGCCGCGCCATGCCGTATTTTGGAGTTCAGAATTTGCTGCCTCAATCTGCCGTTCAGACGTTCCGGATTTGTCACATTGCTGCAACCCTTTCTCCAACCTTAGGTATGCCGTCCAACAAATGTTTGTGGTTCGCCACCCTGCATTGACGGTTCGTGGTTCAGGTTTTCTCACCGGGCAATCTACTTTCGGGATGTTACGGTTTGCAAGTCTTCGATTTTCGCGGTGTCCTTTCAAACTTTCGCTACCCAGCGCTTTTTTATGCGGGATCCGAACTTGCTTTCCAAACATGGAACCCCGAGCAGGTTGTTTAGTCAGTGCGGTTTTTCAGTTTGTCATGTTTTGGGGTTTACGATTCTCGCTAGTCTAGCCGTGTGCACCTAGGGCCTGAGTGCTTTTATTTTTTCTTTTGGCAGCGTCTTTCGGCAATATTTCAGTCTTTTCGCCGAAAGCCGTTCGGCCCGAAGTCAGAGAGGTTTTTTCTTCACCCACTTCTCCCGCTGGTGGGCTACACCGTGTGCTAGTGCTTGCGAGTGCTGTGCATGGCGAGAACGGCACCTTGAGGCTCCGGACACAGGACCAGAGAATTGGCAGCGATCTAGTTCGCTCTGCTTGCGCGGTGGCTGGTAAGGATCGCATTCTGTTTTTTTTTTTTTTGTGTGTGTGTGTGTGTGTCCGCCCCTGTTCCCAAGGGTTCCGCTCGGTCGCTGAGTAATCTAGCGGCTGGGGTTCTGGAGAAAATTTCCGAGGGGGTCTCCACTGACGAGGCCTAACCCCCTCCGGGAAAGGCCGAAAACCCATTGGGAAGCGCATGTCATACGGCACTTGGGTTGCGTGGCGACAGCTGGTGGGTATATCATCGCTTGGAAGTTACGTGCATTGCTCTGCATCACCGGTTGCTCGCACTGGCATCTTAAGCACTGGTCGCATCTTGGTCATATTTCAGTGCCTACTGGCTCCGTGCTCCCCTCGAGCGCAGTGATAAGAGTCGGTCGATGTTCAATGTTTGGAGCTCTGACCTGATTCTGTTATCAAGTGTGTTCGGGTTGTCTTTCTGATGATCCTGGTCTGCATCCCGTGGATGTATGGCCAGGCGACCCGTCGTTCCTTGAAGTTCATTCCCTGACGACATGGTCGAAACCAAGTAAACAACTTCGTTCAAGCTAGGACACATATGGAGACAATGTCAGTCTCGCCCATTGTTTGCAAGATTTGTTGCGCGCCTGTCCTCACCCCTGTACCTTCCTAGCCGCCCTGATGTAATCGAGATCTTCGAGACGCAATGCCAAGAGTACTAGCTCTGGCTCTAAGTGCGGCTTGGCTAGGCTCCAGCTGATGCTTGGTTAGGCTCGAGGTGTTCCTTGGCTTGCACCTCGGTCGCAAAGGCTTTTGTGTCAGGCTCAAGGTGACTCTTGGCTAAGTCCTAGGTGTTGCTTGGAGAGGTTCTGGGTTATTCTTAACTGCACTGGCAACTAAAAAGCTGGTTGAGCATCATCTTGAAGTATGCCTACCCCAACATTTTCGGAGCAACAAGCTGACGATTTGTACCAATTCTTTATACGAATGGGTTTTCCTCCTGCTCAAAGTCCGCTGTGCACGGTGGCACATGCTCGTGATGATCATGCCAAGTGTGTCGCTAAGTAAGTGCTCTTGCTTGCCTGCTTGGCTTCGTGTGTGTGTGTGTGTGTCCGCCCCTGTTCCCAAGGGTTCCGCGCGGTCGCTGAGTAATCTAGCGGCTGGGGTTCTGCAGAAAATTTCCGAGGGGGTCTCCACTGACGAGGCCTAACCCCCTCCGGGAAAGGCCGAAAACCCATTGGGAAGCGCATGTCATACCGCACTTGGGTCGCGTGGCGACAGCTGGTGGGTATATCATCGCTTGGAAGTTGCGTGCATTGCTCTGCATCACCGGTTGCTCGCACTGGCATCTTAAGCACTGGTCGCATCTTGGTCATATTTCAGTGCCTACTGGCTCCGTGCTCCCCTCGAGCGCAGTGATAAGAGTCGGTCGATGTTCAATGTTTGGAGCTCTGACCTGATTCTGTTATCAAGTGTGTGTTGCGGTGTCATTTCGCCACGCAGCCGTTTTTTGGAAGGATCCGGCATTGCTTTCCAAATCTTTCCACCATTTATTGCTTGATGGGTCGTCATCAAACATGCTCTTTAGCTACTGAGATATCTCACATCGGAAACATCTTTAGCGTGTAGTTTTTGCTGCCCAAAGCAGTTCTAGCTAACATGGCTTTTCAACAAGCTTTCACATGAGGCGTTCATTATGCCGTGAACCTGTGGCGCGCTTAACGTGTGGAGCTTTAGCGTGAAGTTCATGGTTCGCCAACTTTGTTTCTGGCATTTAACGTTTTGCCAGTTCTTTAATCTCAGGGTTTCTACACCACACATTGTCTTGCAGCAGTCCTTTCTGCATTTTGTGGATTTGTGGGGTTTAGGGTTTGTCACTTGTCACCCACCCGAACATGTCGAACACGTCTAGATGACAGGGTTTCTCACTCACGTTTCCAGCACGAAGAGCCTGACGCCAAAGCCGTCATGGATCTGAGGTTTCGCCACTTCTGGAATTTCGGGTTTCCCACACTCAGCATTCCCTATTCCCGGAATAGATTGCGAAATCGGCATCCAACACGTTCTTCCGTGGTTGAAACCTACCACCGTGGCATTTTTGAGGATTGAGGTTTGCTACCCCAACACATCTGGTTGACAGAATTTTCCATCCAAGTTTTTTTGCGACGGAGGGCTTGACATCAAGTTATGCCGCCAAACTTGTCCGTTGCCGTTGGGGCTGTGTCACTGCAGCCCAAGGCGAGCACCAGGGTGTGAGGTTTGCCAACGCAGCTCCTGTGGTTTTTGTTGGAGCTGCCGGTTGTTTGGGCATTTCGGCTTCCTGCCACGAGTTGCCGTATAAATGGCAGGGAGTGTCAACCAAAGCTCCCTGTAGAAACTGTGCTCACGCCTGCGCTTATGTCTTCGATGTATATGGGGTCTGAGCGATTGACAAAGTTTCAAGAGTCCCCGCACGTTGTCTGTGGCTTACAGGTATGCCATCCAACAGACCCAATAGGTTTTGATTGTTTGTGGTCGAGAGCTTGTCACTTGACAATCCGCTTTCTTGGTTTAGTTTCGCCTTTTGTTTTTTGTGTCTTGCGGTGTCGTTTCGCCACGCAGCCGTTTTTTGACGGATCCGGCATTGCTTTCCGAATGTTTCCAACATTTTCAAGCATGCTCTTTAGCTACTGAGATATCTCACATTGGAAACGTTTTTAGAGTGTAGTATTTGCTGCCCGAAGCAGTTCTAGCTGACATGGCTTTTCAACAAGCTTTCACATGAGGCGTTCATTGTGCCGTGAACCTGTTGCGCACTTAACGTGTGCTCTAGCGTTCATGGTTCACCAACTTTGCTTCTGGCATCTGACGTTTTGCCAGTTCTTTAGTCTCAGGGTTCCCACACCACACATTGTCTTGCAGCAGTCCTTTCTGCATTTTGTGGGGTTTAGGGTTTGTCACTTGTCACCCGAACATGTCGAACACATCTCGATGAGAGGGTTTCTCATTCACGTTTCCAGCACGAAGAGCCTGACACCAAGGCCGTCATGGATCCGAGGTGTCGCCACTTCTGGAATTTCGGGTTTCCCACACTCAGCATGCCCTGTTCCCAGAATAGATTGCGAAATCGGCATACAACACGTTCTTCCGTGGTTGAGGCCTACCACCGAGGCATGTTTTGGGGTTGAGGGTTTGCTACCCCAACGGCAGAACTTCTCATCTAAATTTGTTCTGCAACAGAGAGCGTGACATCAAGTTATGCCGCCAAACTTGTCCGTTGCCGTTGGGGGTGTGTCATTGCAGCCCAATGGGAGATTAGGGTGTGAGGTTTGCCAACACCGATCCTAGGGTTTTGTTGGAGTGTGACGATTGTTTGTCAATTTCGTCTTCCCGCCACGAGCTTTGGTATAAAGTTCAGCGAGTGTCAACCAAAGCTGCCTTTTAGACCCCGTGCTCACGTTAGCGCTCATGGTTTTCAGGTTCCTTTGTCCTTGTCAGAGTCCCGTCCGTTTTTGCTTAGGGGCATGCCATCCGGCGGGGTTTTGTTTGTTTGTTTGCGGTGAGTTTTTGTTACCTGACAAGCAGGTTTCCGGGCTTGGGGTTTTGTAAGTTTTGGATGCTTTACGCTGGAGGAAGTCGCTAGAGTTTAGTGTTTGCTGCCCGAAACAGTTCTAGCTGACATGCCTTATCAACAAGATCCCGCATGAGGCGCTCCTTATGCCGTCAGCTTTTCGGTTCAGCCAGAGGGTGCCCTAAGGTTTCTGGTTTGCCAATTCCGTCTCTACGGTCCACTGTTTTGTCATGTTTTGCCAGTTCTTGAATCTCAAGCTTCCGACACCACCAAAAATACCGAGCATGTGCTTCCGGGCCGTTTGTTGATCCAAGGTTTCGCCACTTCTTGACTTTCGGGTGTCCCACACTCAGCATTCTCTTTTCCGCGATGAGGCCTATACCACCGTGGTGCTTTTTCGGGTTTAGGGTTTGCCACCCGAACACGTCTGGCTGACAGAAGTTTTGCAACAGAGAGTTTGACCTCAAGTTATGCCGTCTAGCTTATCCGTTGCTGTTGGGGGTGTGTCACTGCAGCCCAAGGCGAGCACCAGGGTGTGAGGTTTGCCAACCCCGATCCTAGGATTTTTGTTGGAGTTTGCCGGTTGTTTGGCCATGTCGTCTTCCCGCCACGAGTTTTGGTATAAATTTCGGGAAGTGTCAACCAAAATTGCCTTTCAGGCTCCGTGCTCACGACAGCACTCATGGTTTTCAGGTTCCTTTGTCCTTGTGAGAGTCCCTCCCGCTTTCTTCATGCTTAGGGGCATGCCGTCCGGTAGGTTTTTGCTTGCTTGTGGTTGAAACTTTGTTACCCGACAAGCAGGTTTTGGGGTTGAGGGTTTTGCAAGTTTCGGGTGTTTTACGGTGTCGCTTCCGCCCAGCGCTGAGGCTTCTCGCGTTGGAGGAAATCGCTAGAGTTTAGGGTTTGCTGCCCGAAACAGTTTTAGCTGACATGCCTTCTCAACAAGATCCCGCATGAGGCGCTCCTTATGCCGTCAGCTTTTCGGTTCAGCCAGAGGGTGCCCTAAGGTTTCTGGTTTGCCAGTTCCGGCTCCAGGGTCTACTGCTTTGCCAGTTTTGCAAACTCAGGGTTCCGACACCACCAGTCTTTTTATGCAGGCCAAGCGTGTGCTTCCGGGCCTTCGCGCTAATCTAACGTTTCCTTCTAAGTCCAGCTCAAGGGTGCCCTAGGGTTTCTGGTTTGTCAACTCCGCCTTTAGGGTCTAGTGTTTTGCCAGTTCCCTTCAATCTTACAGTTCCGACACCACCGTTTTGCTTGTGCAGGCCAAGCATGTGCTTCCAGGCCTTTTGCTGATCTAACTTTTGGCCAAGGCGTAAAGCCTGCAAGATTTGCATGCAAATTGAATTTTTTCGCGCGGGTCGGATAATGTCGACCACGCCGCTCCTAAGGAGTTCAGTTTTCGTTTGTAGCCATGGCTTCAGGGTCAGACCAAGCAGCCATGCAAGTGTGTACGGAGGAGTACAACCGTCAGGGCCAGGTGGACCACGCCGCACTGCAGAACATATACTGGCAGCATCGACAGTTGACCAGAAGGAGCTCCCCGACGCCTCTGGATTCGGCGGTTGGCAACACCTCGTGCACTCGATGATGCAACAATGCGTGCCCGAGTCAGGAGAAAGAGCAGGTCACACAGTTTCCCGAAATGTAAAAAACAACGGCCCCATCCAGATTGACCTGAATTCGCCCAGTCCCGATGCGAAGTGTCGCACATTCCCACTGGAGACAGATGCATCCTCATCGAAGTGATCAGTTGCAGCACATGTTGCCAATGTCGTTATGTAGGGGCCCGGATTTCTTCAATCGCGAGGACAGCGACATACTGGATGTCGCACCAGGTGACGGTCTAGATGATGCAGATCTCGAACAAGAATACGAAATCATCATGGAGCAAGCTGACGAAGGTGAGAAGGTCAACGATGAAATGGATGTGGTTGATGAGGTGGCCGGGCAAGCCCCAAGGGACAACTGTCTGACAGGTGTTTGATTCGTTTTATATGTTTGAATGTGGATGTCATACATGCAAGCGAGTAGTGACCCCCCAATAAGTAAAACAACATGTTGTGAGTGTCCCCCCAATAAGCAAAACATGTTCTTATTGTGCAGCGCCCCAGTAAGCAAATTAATTCTATCAATAAAAACCCTCCTCAACAAGGAAAGCATTTTTTATCGTGCAACACTCTAATTGCCGAAACAATTCGATTAATACATAGGCACATGATGTGAAATCTCGCAACAACGTATCTTATCGCTCCACGGCCCAGTAAGCAAAACAGCTCTATCCACACGTACGAACATGTTTTGAATGCGACCCCAATAAGCAAAACATATTCGTATCGTGCAGCACCTCCCCATAAGAGAAACAAATCTATCAAGACACTCAAACATGGCTTGAGTGCCCCCCGAAAAGCAAAGCATACGTAGTCTTATCGTTCCACGCCCCAATAAGCGAAACAATTCTACTCGTCAATCTGAACATGTTTTGGTTGCCACCTGCCAACAAGCATAGGTTTATCATCCGACACCCAAATGAGCGAAACAATTCTATGACGGATGCGAACATGTTTGTGCGATTGACCTGCGCCAATCAGCATGGATTGTTTCGCGATGTATGTGGTGTGCAAGTCCTTCAATGATTCGCGCTGCCTCGTGAAGAGTGGACCCTTCAGTGTGGTGCTTCTCAACAGCATGATCTCGAAATTGAAGTCGATTTCTATCCAGTTTCGAGCGTGCATGTAGGCATGGAGGGATGTACCTATGTCATTCCAACAACCATTTCACCGGCCTGTGGTGTCCTCAAGGTTTAGGACGGCATTTCGACGATGGGATGAAAGTAGTATCAGCTTCCCCTTGCAGGTCGCGCAATCAGGCACCACAACATTTTTTAGCATGGTCGGGAAACATGCGCATGGTCCCCACAAGCTATCCACCTCGAGGGTAGCTCCGGCAATGCATACAAGCGTCCATCAGCAAAACTTCGAAATCCGTATCTCTCGTTATCATGAAGAACTTTTCCGTGGTCATGTGTCTACCAGAGCCATCGAGCATGCCTACAATGCAGTCTTCGGCTACAGGCTGATGATGTTCCCAAAGATGTCGTCACGTCTAGGAGTAAAACATGCAGAAAAGCGCATTTGGACAGTTTCCCGTTTTGTAACAATGTGTAACAACATGTGGTATCATGTAATAACATGTAATAATACGTAACAATACATAGTGGTATAGAAGCATACAACATCGTGCACAACAGTATGTAACAAAGATTACCATAAACACAAATAGAACAGTATGAAAAATTAGTTGCACAATCCTACTTAGCCTAGTCCAACCTACTTCAATCTAGCCGAACATGGTATAATGTAGTCTGATATACTTCACCAGGCATTTGCAATAGCATCTAGCATGATATATTTTCCAAAAAATGATGTGTAATTATGTGATTTGATTCGATGAATTCGGAAAGTTTTTGAAGTTTTAATTGACGACCTCAGCCTGCAAGAGTCTTTGAAAGTGTCGACTTGAGTGAAGGGTAAGGTGACGATACTCCACTTGAACTTGAATATCTCCTGTACGGCGACTCTTCCGCGGGTCTGCCATCATCGATCTTAAGCCCCAAAGGCTACTCGTGGCACTGTGTGCATACATACATACATACATACATACATACATGCAGACATACATACATACATACATACATACATACATACATACATATGTGCGCATACACGCCCCGACACATTCTATTTATGTATATACACATACACATGTGCACATGCATGCATACACCCTGCCCACCCACCGCCGGTTTGTCAATCAAAGCTGTTTTGAAACTTATGATCGGCCGCTCTATGTTAGCATTCTGGTTGGTATTTTACTGGTAGGGTTGCGGACTTGCGACGCTCTTCGATCGGATGAAGTTTAGTTTTGAGCAACCTTGAGGTTTCATTTTTCATGATATTCGCCATGCGAGTCCGGGTTCTCGGTATCTGAATTGAGTCTAGAAGGCGCGCTCTGTTTGCAAGGATGGTGGACCTTTGCATTGAAGATGCGCAGGTTGAGGCAGTGCTTTGAGCTTCTTATTGAGGGCCAATTGAAGCTGACCCCATGGTGGAGCTGCCAACTCGCCAGCTGATTCCACCGGGTGCAGGGTGCAGGGCGTGCGGCGAGACGTCCAACGCCTGCGCCCAGCACCAAGCTCTCAAGCTCTCTCCACTGTGCCGATGCCGTTTGCCACTCCTTGCGGCCAGGCATTGCTTTCAGGGCCTGGTTCGAAGCCGTGGCTACGCAACTGCAAGAGGCCAACCGCCTTGCTTGTCAGCGCAGCGCAGGGGGCATTTGGGGCATTTGGGGCGAGGCGGTGGCAGCAGCTGAAGCAGAGTTGAGGGCCATCAGTGTAAGGGGCCCGGAGCGGCAACAGGTGACATGACGACTTCCTACTGTCTCCTCAAGTGTAAGGAGACGGGCTTGGTGGCAATGGAGCCGTTGACACAGCAGCGGCCCTCAGTCCCTGGGCTTCACGACCCCATCCCCGTCTGAAGCCCTGCGGCCCTACGCACCGCAGGGCACCGAAGTCTTGCCAAGATTCTGCCACGAGCTTGGCATCGGAGACTGGACTTACTGGAGTGTGGATACTGCCAGCAGACTTCGCTTCCGGCACCGGCTTTCCAAGCTGTGGGCTCCTAGGAGGGTGTTTAGTCGAGTCTTAGTGCTGCTTGGCCATGGATGGCAAACGAGTGGGCGTGGCCACTGCGGCACCGCTGCGATTCAGTCGGAGTGCCGAGAGTCGAGCAAGGACTGGAGTTGCCCAACCCTGTGTAGCACCCCATGTGCTAGCTGACTGTTTCCAAGACCTTGATCCCCCAACCAGTCACCTTGCGTTGAACGACGTGGCTAGATTCTGTATGCAGAGAGAGTGCACAGGACCATGAGCTACAGGGTGTTTCGTAGTGCTGAGGCATCTGCAGCTTGTGCGACAATGATTTGCGCAACCAGGCCGGCCACAGGCTTCATGGCTTCCTTGATTGGATGTGAGGAATGGCCCAGTGAACCCTCTTTGAGGTGCTTCGTCGGTGGACGGGGCGGAGAGGCCAATGGCCCAATAGCTAGACTGCGGGGCCCCGCCGTATCCACAGGCCGGAACTTGCCAGAGCCCTTGCGAAGTGCTCGACCGCCCTTGGAAGGTCCTCAACCGGGAAGCCTGCAAAGCAGCTGGCTGCCGGCTTCGGTCGCAGTGGTTTCTGCCTTTGCCGCACTGCGGATGCAGCGAAAGTCCACCGTGGGGCTACTCGCTTGCATTAGCTGCAAGCAGACCCGTCTGGACCCTATGTAAATCGAGGCGTTCGAACATCACGCGCCATGCAGATGGCCTGGCCGACTGTCCGTACGCATTGTACGGCCCCTTACTGAGACCTGAAACTTGACTTCCTGCAATGTGAGACATCCGTCAACCATCCCACAATCCTGGAGGTCAAAAGGACATAGACATTGCAAAGGAACGTCAGGAGCTTCAGGCAAATCATGCTCGAGCATTGAAGGAAGATCTTTCCTTTTTCCTGCCTTCAGCAGGTGCCCAGTGGCCCCAAAGAGATTCGAATGCCTGAAGAGCTGAAAGGTGACATTGAGGTGCCTGAACACAAGCGGGATAGGCCTGAAAAAAATTAAATAGGCATCCAAAAAAACTAAATAGGCATCAAAAAACTAAATAGGCATCAAAAAAACTACGTGGGTATCCTGAGAGACTGACAGAAAGCCAGAAAGATAGAAACAGCAGAACGACAGAAAGAAAGAAAGCAGGAAAAGACAGAAAGAAAGAAACAACGAAAGAAGGAAAGAAACAAAGACATACAGAAACAAAGAACGAATGAAAGAGAAAGATAAATAAAGAAATAAAGAAATAAAGACAGAAAGAAAGGAAGAATGAAAGAAGGAAGAAAGCAAGACATAAAGAAGTAATGCGGAAAGAGAGAAAGACAGAAAGCAAAAAGAAAGAGGAAAGAGGAAAGCGAGACAGAACGAAAGATTGACAGAACGAACGAAGGAAAGACAGAAGAAAGGGAAAAGGGAAATGAAGAAAGACATAAATCAGCGCAAGACGCTTCCTTTCGCTGTTCCTTCTCTCTTTTTGTACTTGCGTGTTTTGTCTTAGTTATTTTGCTGTTTGCTGGCGTTTGTTTTTATTGCTTCCGTTCACTATTCTGTTTAGTTGGCGCTTGTTTTTTGAAGTCTATTTCGTGCTTCCTTACGTCCTTCCCATATGTCTGTCTTTACGTCTCTCTTTCTCTTTGTCGTTTTGTTTTGTTTTTGTTGATTCATGTCTTTTTCATTTCCCGTTTCCCTTTCTTCTGTCTTTCCTTCGTTCGTTCTGTCTTTCTTTCTTTCTGTCTCGCTTTCCTCTTTCGTCTTTCTTTTTTGCTTTCTTTTCGTGTTTCTTTCTTTATTTCTTTATTCTTTCGGCTGCAGGGGTTTTCATACGTGATTTAGGGTACCGGCTCAGTGCCCTCACCGACTGGCGAAAAGTCCGATGCGCCGCATATCCTAAGATTATCGTTTTAAGGCTTAGTTTAGTGCTTCATTTTTTGATGCTTATTATTTAAGTGCTTAAGTTTTTTTGATGTTTATTTTAGTGCTCAAGTTTTTCTGATGCTTATTGTAGTGCTTAAGTTTTTTGATGCTTATTTTAAGCTTTTTTTTGATTCTCCGGTCTAGTTTTTTTTGATGCCTATTTAGTTTTTTTGATGCCTCACCCAACACAAGCCCTGGAGTTAATAGGTCTCCCAAGTGATCTCCGTCCGCTTGGTCGTTCCGAGAACTCGCATTGTCATGAGTTGGTCGAACACCCCCCC